TCAGTCAGCTTTTGACTGAAAAAAAGCTGTGGAGAAGGGCTGAAAATGGCAGAAGCCAGCACGTGGGAGTTTGAAGAGCGCTGTGGTTAGTTACTTCACAGATGAGTTTGTCCTGTGGGTTGATTTTTTACTGTGTGATGGGTTTTTCCACCATTGCATATTTTTGTACTTGTACTTTCTGAGTAGGTGAGGATGGAAAAATACATTAGGGGTTGAAGGTTTTTTTTTCTTTTTTTTCTTCTGGTCTTATTGTTAGAGATCTGCACCAAAAATATAGACTAAATGCAATGCAGGTGAAAAGCAGTGATCTTTGAGCTCGGCCAGTCAACCAGAAAGCTGCACACCCTGAGCAAGAGGAAAAGTACTTTCATTCTTATTGCATGGTGTGCTGTTTTTGTTGAGCTCAGTAGCTGAATTCTTTATAAATATTTTCTTTGTACTTTCAGAGAGTTTTTCCTTCTTTTTGATAGATCAGGCTTTTATCAAGGTGGTTTGATGCTCAGATTTGAAAGATTTGGGAACTGGTTGCTTCTCCGTTTTGTTATTTCTCTGTCATTTAGTGCATCGATCCATTTTTATCATTTGATGAGAAAAGATTTTTAAATGGCTGTATGTGGCATTCATCTCAGTGACAAGGAAGTTACTTAATGGAAGTTTGTTTTGATTGCATTGATGGGGAGAAACAAACAAAATTAATCTAGTCTTTGTGTATAAGTAGACCCAAGTGTTGCCCAGTTCATCTGACAGCGCTTTCCTGGGCACTGGAGGCCAGTGCAAGCCTCTTCTGCTTGGAAGCAGCACTGCAGGCCTCAATTGAAGAGTCACCCTTTCTTCTTTGCTTTTCCCCTGGAGAGGCAGTTACTTTGCATCTGATTCAGACCACAAGCAGCTTTATTTTCACTTGTGACAGCTGTTCAGTGAGAGTGAAGCAGCCAGTTCCTCCTCTCTGCTTGCAGTCCAGAACAGATACGGTCTCTGCTGGTGCCCTAAAGAGTTCAATATCCCAGGAGACAGTAGAACAGACAATCCTTGGCCTATCTGCTGATGTGCCCTTTGAAGATCAATTTAATGCTAGTTCTTTTTGTGTGAGGAAGAAGGGGGTGTTTACAGGAATTACAATCATCCATTTTCTTTGAGATGAACTGGAATACATAAAACAGGGAGTTGTTCAGAGGTCCTCTGACAGCCTTCTAGCAAGCACCTTCACCTCCCCATGCTAGGATCCCATCTCTATGCTTCTGGACACCTACTCCCTTTTCCCACATACTGCATCCATAAGCTGAGATCTGCCAGCTTTCCCTCATCTACATGTCAGACCTTTTTTCTTCCTCTCCCTGGTCCCTGTACTCCCTGTATCATCTCTGACCTGAACAGAAACCATCATGCCAGCAGTGAGTGGAGTAAGAACCATGCTTTAAGCAGACTGTAGAGACTGTAAGTACTGCACATTGTACATTGCAGGCTCTGTGGAAACATTCACCCCACAACATGGATAAGTGCCTTCGTGTCACAGCCCAGAGCTGTTGCTCCGTGCCACTGTGAAGTGTTTCAGGTTGGAGAGTTTGGGGACCTCTGAGCAGAGATCAAAGCCTTGTGAGCCTGTTTTCTTCTTGGGCCAATGTTGGTCCGATACTCCCATTTCTAAATATGAAAATATCATGGTTTGGAAGCACAAGGCAGTGTGTGGTGAAAAATATCACTTTCTCTGAACAGTGTTATTTATCTGCTTCCTTTGTCCACTTCATTAATGACTAAGTAGTGGTTGAAATAACAGAAAAGATAAGTCCAAGGTTTTTTTTAAGGCCATGTTTCAACATAAATCTGTTTTCTTAACATATCCTCTTTCCTTCCTCTGAGACATTTACTATCTTTTTGTGTTTAGAGCAAGAAGAAGGAATGCAGCAAGTGTTGTCGCTGCCCTTGAACTTCTTAGCAAAGCTGGCACTGCTTCCTCCTTGGTTTACTTCACTTCTTGTTTTGCCTCTCTATCCACCTAATGCATCAGTTCGCAGGAGGATCCCTTATAAAATGGAAACCTTTCCAGCGAGGCATTTCTTTCCATCCTGTAAAAAGTCTCTGCTGTAAATTTGCTCCAGGTTTATTAACTACTTTGCACCAAAGTCATAAATTTTAATAACTTCACAGAAGAGGATTTGCCCTCTTTAGATAGGGGCTGACACAGTATGGTACAGCACACTTTCTCCCATATAATAAAATAAATTACAGCAATTAGCTTGGTCTGCCACAAGCCTTATACATATAGCATATCTGTTCATTTTGGGACAGGCTTTAGGCCTGGAAGGAATGCAGAATTAGGAATTGCTATGGAGTGATGTCTCCACAGTGTAATAGCAGCAGGTTCCAGACATTTAACTGCTTAAATGCCTGGCTCAGCGTTGCGACAGCAAGATGTTACTCCTTCTGTTACCTGATAGCAGAGATACGTGATTTGAGGGAAGTTTGAGTATGAATTTTGTGGCTGTTTTATGCCAACACCGGCTACTTCTGGAATGTCTGGGCTCTTTGTAGTCAGGAACCTGCAAGCACGGGTGGGTGAATTGCTTCTTGATAGTGTGGAGTGGTGGCTTACAGGGGTGCAGTTACATCAGCTGTGAGGAAAACACCTCCACACCCACCAGAACTCACACTTAGTTCTCTCACTTGAATTTAGTAATTCCTACCCATTTCTAACAGGTGGGAAAGAAGTACTTTGTTGACTGCAGCTTATTCCACGAGAGGATTGCAAGACTTTAAAGCTGCTCCACTGTCTTATATTCTCCATTATCGTGTTTGTACAGTAATAGTATTTCACTTTAGTGGTGTTAGCACAAACCCAAAAATTTGTAGAACTTAATGAACTTAATTAAGTAAATCACTTTGAATCATTTTAAGGGGAAGAAATACAGACCTTCTAGCCCCTTGCTTTAACACTTGTGTTTCCTCCTCCAGCTGGCAAATTAAATACAAAATGTAGATGACGAGTAATTATTCTTGTTAGCACATCCACCTTCCCAGTAAAGATGGGTTACACTAATTAACAGAATAGCATTCCTTAATACTGAAACTTCCAGTTAGGTGCTCCTCTGATGAGTTATTCAGGTGGAAGTTTGCTGCTTATCAAGATATTTCTTTCAAGTAAAGAGAAGCAGCCATCCTTGCTGGATGGCACAACTATAGTCTATTTTCAGACTAGAACAGGTGTTCTGGAGACGCAAGTATTTTGCACATCGGAGTGAGCTCACGTGATGTGGGAAGTAATTCAGGCAAGTACAGAGTCCAGTCTCTTTTCAAACTATTGTCTTGAACCAGGTGCTTCACTCATTTCTTTTGTAGACCTTTAATTTAAAGACCTAATCCAAATCCAGTTGATATTAATTGAACCTTTTATTACTTGGTGCAGGGGGAAAGGTTTGAGGTCTTCAACTAAATCCTGTAGTGCACTGCAATCATTCCAGGCCCCTCTCTCCAGCCTGCTACTCTCCTCTGCCTAATGCAGTCTAATAAAGTGTCCTTCTCATTGCTTGCAAGCTACCAGCAGTGATATAAATAATTATTATTACTGCATGTCAACACTTTTGGTGTTATTCTTTACTGGATGTTTTTCCAAAATAAAAGCTTTAGTGGATGAAGAAATTATGATTCTGGTCCGAACAGTTGGGGGAGAGGCGGGGAGTGAGTAACAAACCCCACAACCTTGCAAATGTAAAAGTATTGAAGAGTTTTAAACCTCAATCTTCCAGAAGCTCTGCTGGGCTGCAAGATGACTTTGTCATCTCAGTAAGTTTTGCTTCCAAAACCTAATACTTATAATTTAGATTTCTACATTAACTGTTGCATTGCTGATAATTTTGACAGAAACATAAGGCTGCTTTATTGCAGAGAAAGTATCTGGTCTAACTTTCATTGGTTTAGTTGACAAGGATTTCACTACTGTCCTGGGAAAGCAATTTTGTTTGTTGCCCGATAGATGACAGGAAGTTACCTGACTTTAAATCTAACTGTCTCTTACTCACTCTTGGCTTTTTAGCAGTATGGACTGTCTGCCTCAAACAGTTCAATTTTCAACTTGCACATGATCATTTATACCCACATAACTAGGGTTTTGTTTCTGAATTCCTTGGGTTTGCCTGACTTGCACTATTCTTGAAGTGTCATTTGAAGTACAAACAAGTCACCCATCTCTCTGTTCATCTTACACAGAACTTGTGATAAGTAAAGATGAAGGTCTTAGGCATCCTACCTGCCTGCATATGTGTATGTGTGTATGTATGGATCTCCGGTTGTGGTATGAGAAAGCTCAGGTGCAATGGCATTTCAGCAAGCTGCATCATGTGGCATTATTGGAAATGCTTCTTTATGTTGTCATTGCTGATTGCAGCGAAGTGCATTTTCCTTTAGGGTTATATAAAATTCGTATGATTTCAGAGACACCAGAATGGTAGTTACAGAAGGGAGCTAAGGGGCTCCCTTCTTTACAAATCTTAGAAAATGTGTAGCATGCCTGATGGCATGAATCAATATTCTGATTTTTATGTCAGGGTATTGTGGCAGCACATTCTGCTTCTTTAGCTTCCCTTTTTGTTATGTCAGTACACACTGTAACTCTGCTAGCCTGCTTCCCTCTTCTCTGTGCTCGTAGAAAGCCAGTTTGCTTGGGGATAGAATATCTAAAGAGGAAAAGACAAGTGTCCCCCATGCATGGTGCACCTCCAGATATTTAGAAAATGTACTGGTCTCTCCAAGAAGGTAGGTACTACTTTGCAACAGTTCTTTAATTCTTGGCACTTTGTCTAGGTATCAAAGGGTGAGATGGAGAACTCACACTGTGGTGTTATAAATAAACAAGAAAGGTAGGAAATCAATGCAGGAGTGCGATCTGTTAAGTACCATTTGTGATTACCTAGCTTAGGGAACGATCTGAGATGACTGATTAGAGTTTCCATGCTGAAGCCTTCTCTGTGGCACAGCCCTGATGCAGTTTCTTTCATTTTTATCTTCAGGGGCTTCTGTAAGTGGGAAGAGGGATTCTGGTTGTGTGACAGCAGCCCTTGGCAACACGTGGAGTCACAGCGTCAACACCAGGCTCATACTACAATATCATGACTTGCCAAAAAGACAGGTGAGAAACAATGAATAGAATTTAAATAAAGCTACACCAGCAGTACTCGGTCAGATGGGCTGTGTCCTTCAGCCTCTGTGGTTATTTTAGGTGTTTTGAGAAGTTGGTACTCTAGAGCCAATTGCTTATTTGGGGTGGGGGGCAGTCAGTGTCTATTGCTTTTAAGGGATGGCCAGTGTCTCCTGTGATAGGATGGGCTTATCTGAGTCACAGTTGGCACAGGCATACAAGTTCCTTGAGCTTTTAGTGCATTCCACTAGTGCATTGTGGAAATGAAAGGTAATCCTTAAAGAGCTTACCTGCACAGGGATTTTGGGGCAGGAGTAGAAACCTTTTACTGCTATGATTCTTTTGCTGTCATGCTGGCTGCTCTTTGTGCCCAGTTTCAGCTGTGACTGTTAGGACAGGGAGCACTCTATCTTCTGTGATTGCTCTTTGTGAGTAAAAGCTTGCTGCTTGCACCAGCAAGCTTAGCTTTGAGCAGTAAGTATGGCACCAATTTTCCAGAAGTATGCCTGCAAATAGGAGAATATTGAACCCTTTTCACTAAGAGACTTTATACTTTTGAGTGAAATATAGTAGCATTCTGACTGCAATCTTCACCTCCTAATTTAGAAAACTGTGAAAAACTAGGAGACAAGACATTTGGAGAATGATTGAGGGAATAAGGGTTTTTTTGTGTTTTAAAAACACCATAACCCCTGATTTCATCTATCCTTTGGGATATCTGTGGTTATAATCTATTTTGGCTTTGTCTGTTCAGTTTTTGCATTGATGTAACTCTTTCCAAAGGCTGTGACCCTCAGTCTTAATGTTATTGATTTTCTGCCAGTTAGAGGACTGTCAGAAAAATTGCTATGTGATATTTGTACCATCTTACTTCTGTAGCGTTACTACCCATGTGCATTCAAATTGGTCCTCCTGGCTTTACTGCCACAGCACAAGGTTTCTCACTTTTTGGTTGCCATCTTTAGAGCCAGAGAAGAGGAAGCCATCCTGTTTTGTTAGAAATTTATTTATTAGAGGTAAAATTGTAATGATAACACTCCTGTTCCTATGAGTAGTGGGCACAGTGGTAGTCCTCTGGACTCTGAGGGAGGAGGTTAAGTGTGTCAAAAGAAGGTAGAAAAGGCATCTTCTGGACTCACTTCTAAAAACCACGCATAGAAATGTACTTACTGCTGCTGCTCTTAGAAGTTCTTTTCTGTTCTGCTTCTTATTCTGGTCTGTAATGAGTTCTCCTTTTCTACAAAAATACTAGGCTGTGCAAAATACAAAGCTGTTCACAAATTTCCTGGATCACTTTGGAGTTACATGAGAGGTGGAGTTGGCCGAGGGTAAAGGGCAGGAACTGGGCTCTGTGCTACTTCATGATGCACAAAGTCAGCTAAAAAGGATTAAGAACATTCCTCTGGTGGGGGAAAAAGAGAGCAGTTTTCCTAAAGAACATTCAGATATTATATGTAGTTTTTCCTGATTTTGTTTGAGAAGTAATAGATCACAAGGGTATGAAAAGTTGTGTTCAAGTTTTTAAAATTATAACCTGCTTAGCAGAGTTTTCCTCTCTTCCTGACTGGATTTATCAGGTGCAGCACCTTGCTTAAGTGTGAAGCCATGGGCTCACTCTCTTTTAATTAGGCAGAGAAACTAAAGCTACAGTGAGGAAAAGCAACCTTAAAGTAAGTGTTAGCATATATTATTAAAAGCAAAGTAATTTGAAGTAGAAGTGTGATAGGTCTGTGAAGTCCATGAATGAAATGGGATATATCCACAATATCCTGTAAGTATTTTCCTCTTGCTGGTATCTGTGTCTTTTTTTCAGATAAATTCTCTTTTCTTAAACTCACAAAAATCTTTCAGGTAGACATGCAGTTTCCAGGAAGGCATCAAGAGTCACCCTACCTGTAGCAGCACTGTATTGATCAAATTACTATAATTGTATGCATGTATGGTCCTTTATAATTGTTTTATACCCACTTTCAGAACTGTACTGTGGATAAAGGTGCCTCAGTTCTTAACATGCCATTTCAGTCATCATAAGGTGGTTCTACCAGGAGTGCTTTGAAAATCAGCATTTTTTAAGGAAGCTTAACATGAAAATCTAAAAATTCTGAAGTCAGTAATCACATTTAAAAATTCTTAAATTCTTAAAAATTTCCCAAGACCACTCAAAAATCATTGAGAGAGGTTTTGTGGTGACATCAGCAGCATTTTGAGGATTCTGGGTTGAATCCTACCAGGCCCCATAGATCTATAAGGATTCAGCTTGAGCAGCAGATCCTGCACAATTTCAAGATCAACTGAGAGCTGATCATTCTCGCAGTCATGGTCCTCCAGTTCAGGGCACTGAGACCCCCTTGGTCCATAATCCATGTTGAAGACAGAGGCAAAGAAAGCATTAAACACCTCTGCCTCGTCTCTGTCCCTGTTTGTGAGGTGACCATCCTCACCCTGTAATGGGCTGATGATATTTTTATACTGCCTATTGCCATTAATATGTTTGAAAAAACTCTTTTTATTACCCTCACATTTCTGGCCGGCTCCAACTCCAGCTGAGCTTTGGCCACACGAATTTTCTCCCTACAGCAACAAGCAACATATTTGTATTCTTCCCATATCACTTGACCTTGCTTCCACTGGGCATACACCTTCCTTTTCCTTGCACAGTGGACACAATTTTTTCTTTCAAATACTAGAATTCATTCTTTATTCACTTGACCTCCCAAAGATGCTCTTCCTGGCTCAGCTTTCCCTCTTTCTTTCCCTGGAGGAGGTGGCACAGTGGTGACAGTCTGAGGGATTTTCTCTCATTACATCTGACTTCCATGGTAGTAGAGTCAGTGCACTAATCCTCGATGCAAAATCCCACCCATCAAGAGAGAAAGCACCTCTTGAGAAGCACTTGGCCAATGTTGGTATTCTTCAAAATGTGAACCGATAATGTAATTGTTAAGGAGGATTCAAGCAAGTGGTTTTCCAGAACCATAGTTCTGGACAGGACAGCCTACTGGGCTGCTAGGTGCTTATTTTTAGTCATTCAGTATTTGTTTCTGAGAAAGTTCAGGGACATAGTCCCTGTTCCTAAAACTTTGAGGAATGCCAGGGCAGCAGGTGGCAGAACAAGTATGCAACAAACTAGGAAAATTAAGCATAGAACTCCTGTACAGTTGGGATTTATTTCAAATATTAAGTAAAAAGTGCCTTTATTTTGTTTGTCCAGTAGACATTTTCCAGCCAACTATCCCTTTTTCCACCCCACCCTTCCTGTGTCTGGTGAACATTAATAAGACAGCAGCCAATTCAGCAAAGTAATGAAATTTCTGGGACGTCCTGCCTGCCTTAAAATCAATTGGGTTTGCTTTATTGCTTGGATAGGAACAGTTTTCTGAATAAACAGATGAACTTTGCTCTTCTGCCTCCTTCTAGAACCCAGTGTTCTGGTTTTTGTTTCCTCCAAGACAGAAGCAACACCACTGAGGGGGGGCAGAAAGAGGTTTACAGTCTGCATTTAAAATCATAATGCCACCAAAACTCACAAGCATGGACAACAGTAGAAGTCTTTTAGCCACTGAGGTGGAACTGAGCTGCACAATTTCCACAGCGGCACAGTGGCATAAGAACTTGAGAGAATGTGGGAAAAGTTAATTGTTTCACACAAATGCCATCATGAAGGGAATGATTGCTATGGATACTGATACTTAGTTCTCCCTAATCAGTCTTATAAGTACACAACATTTATTTTCCTGAAATGCGTATGTAAACATGCAGACCCTTCAAGTTTGGGCTAAAACCAACGGGGCTGCACTAGAAACTATCAGACTCCTCAGTTACCCCGATGTGTATAATTGTCCTTCTTTCCTGAACTGTAGTCAGCAGGCTTCAAGGTTACAGTTTTCATATGTGCTCAGCTGTCTTTAGGGGTCAGCATGGTAGGGTTTAATACATTGGCATGCTATATTTAACATTTTGTTCTTGTCCATTGGAGGCAAGGTGCTGGATTAAGTGAGATGCTGGCCAGATCTGGCATGGCAACTTCTATGGGCCTGGTTTATTTTATAGTTTTCAAGGCATTTGTGACACTCATAATATTGTGTTAATGTCTGTAATGTGCTTTGAAATTCTTAGATGGAAAGTGCACATAGAAGTGCTATTTTATGATGAATCGGTGTTTTCCTGTGGTATTTTCAGCAGAGAGCATTTTGAATCACAGAATCATTTAGGTTGGAACAGACCTTAAGTATTCTAAGATTCAACTCCATCGAGTCCAGCCATTAACCCAGCATTGCCAAGTCCACCACTAAGCTGTCTCCCAGGTGCCACATCTACATGTCTTTTAAATACATCCAGGGATGGTGACTCCACCATTTCTCTGGGCAGCCTGTTCCAGTGCTTGACAGCCCTTTCTGTGAAGACATTTTCCTAATATCCAGTCTAAACCTCCCTTGGCACAACTTGAGGCCACTTCCTCTTGTCCTATCACTTGTTACTTGGGAGAAGATACTGAACCCTACCTTGCTACAACTTCCTTTCAAGTAGTTGTAGAGAGCAATGAGGTTCTCCTGAGCCTCCTTTTCTCCAGGCTAAACAACTCCAGCTCTATCAGCCACTACTCATACAACTTGTGCTCTAGAGCCTTCACCAGCTTCATTGCCCTTCTCTGGACATGCTCCAGCACTTCAATGTGTTTCTTGTAGTGAGGGACTCAGAACTGGACACAGGATTCAAGGTGTGACCTCAGAAGTGCCAATTATAGGGGATGATCACTGCCCTGGTTCTGCTGGTTGCACTATTTCTGATACAGGCTAGGATGCCATTGGCCTTCTTGGACACCTGGGTACACTGCTGCATCATGTTTAGCTAGCTATGGATCAACACCCCCACGTCTAGTCACTCATCCCCCAGCCTGTGGGATTGCATGGAGTTGTTGCGATGGAAGTGCACAACCCAGCCCTCCACCTTATTGAACCTCATACAATTGGCCTGTCTAGATTTCTCTGTAG